GCGCATCCAAATTTGGCTTCTTTTTCAGAAGACATGAACGAGAACGACTCGCGAAGCGGATCGACTTGCTTTCCGCAATCTTTTTTCCTTCACTTTTTTCACTATTCAACATTGCCTACTGGTCTCATTATCTACGATCGGACTGACGGAAGTGTCTTCGCCGCTGGAACCCAACCCCGACCCCGATCCCCCTCTCGTGTTACGGGCCTCTAACGAACCGCTATCATTCTCAGATCTCTCTCTTCTCTCTCTTATGTCTCTCTCTATAAATTATCGCCATCCCAGTGAACTGCCATTATACTTGTGATATATCCTCAAATGACACTTAAACGCCAGAGTTAATAATGAAGATTATTCCACGATTGTTCTTTCGGTCAACTTATGTTGCTACATGTACATTTCATCATATAGAAGATGGTCCCTATTGGAAATTGTTACCTCATACTGTGTTTGTCTGCTCAAATCTCACTTATGTTGATACCTAACGAAGGCAGAGGAACAACGATCGATTGCAATTATTGGATGTATATTGAATTATTTATGCGATTGTTTACCTTTTATTTGTTGTTGATAGATGAAGATTTGAAGAACTTTTTTACTCTGTATAGCAGGCTATAAAATCTCAGGATAAGCTGACATAGCTGTATTAGCACTCTCGTAATGCTAAGTTTATAGTCGCGCGTGCCAGCGCCGCTCCAGCGCAGTGTTGGACCTCGATCGATCAATATAGGGCGCATACTCCGACACGGTGCCGGCACAGCTTTGAACACAGTTGGATGCTGCATACGACGTTATTTAGGTCAAAACCTTAGCCAACCTGAATTGCTCGAGGAACATCGTTCATTGGCAGTGTTCCAAGTGGAATGAGTCTGTCTGGAGCATGCTGGCATTGTGCCAACAAGTCGTCATTCACAAAACGGCTCACTTCTTCGGTGTGCTCCGGCTTTGCCTGAAACATTTCTTTTGCAGCTTACAACTTGTGTTTCTGCAGAAGCAACGAGGGTGAAAAAAATTCTTTTTAACTATTGACAACTACCACCTGCCATCGTCATAGTAATAGATAATAGAGCAAAAAGAGGTTGTACTGTGAACAACTAACACGGTTGTAAAAATCTGTTTGCAGAGTAAATTAATGATTTTTGGTGTACTGTAAAAGTGAACTATAGTGGGGTAATAAATTCGGTGAGCATATAGTGCATTTGCTTTACCTCTGTTCTAATTATGGTAGGTTTACTGTAGCACGATGTGATGTAGTAGTATGGCTGAATATTCAAATATCATGACGAATCAGTTCTATGCAGAGAAAGAGGTCTCGTATCTATATAATCTTAGACCTTTTTTATAATATAATTCATGTAGATTTTTTGTTATATTGTTTTCCCCTTAAATGATGTTTTATAGTATGGTTTTTTT